ATTTATCTACATCATCCTTCATCTGCCATACATTTGCCCATTCACTCAGCCTCTCCAAATCATAATGCAACATCTGAAATAAATTATTAACCTATATTGTGAATAGCCTGAGTCCTGGTACCAATCCCTAAGTACTCATCACTGCCTGTCATTCAGAAAAAGACCCATTTGTTCCACTCTTTGTTTCTTGTCTACTAACCAATTTACTACCCATCTCAACACATTACCCCCAATACCATATGCTTTAATTTTATACATCAATCTCTTATGTGGGACTTTGTCAAAAGCCTTCTGAAAGTCCAAATAAACTACATCCACTGGCTCCCCCTGACCAACTCTACTAATTACACTCTCGAAGAATTCCAGTACACTTGTCAAGCATGATTTTCCCTTTGTTAAATCCATGCTGACTGTGTGTGATTCTATCACTGTATTCTTACGGCTGTGCTGTAGAATCCTTGATAATGGACCCTAGCATCTTCTCCATCACCTACATCAGACTCACTAGTTTGTAATTTCCTGTTTTTGCCATGCTTTCATTTTTAAATAGTGGAGTTACATGAGCAACCCTCCGATCTGTAGAAACTGTTCCAGAGTCGAAAGAATCTTGGAAGATGACCATCAATGCATTCACTATTTCTAGGCCTTCCAATATTATTTCCTTAAGTACTCTGGAATGTAGATTATCAGGCCCTGGAGATACATCAGCGTTCAATCCCATCAATTTCTCCAACACCATTTCTGTACGAACACAGATTGTCTTCAGTTCCTCCCTCTCACTAAACCCTGTGATCCCCATTATTTCTGTAACGTTATTTATGTCCTTCTTTATGAAGACAGAAGTGAAGTATGAATGTAGTTCATTGGCCATTTGTGACAGTAAAACATCAGTTTTCACCATACATTTTCTACCTAAACACCTGTAGAAACTTTTACAGTCAGTTCTTATGTTCCCCTCGAGCTCACCCTCAAACTCTATTTTCCCTTTTTTAACCAGTCCCTTGGTCCTCCTTTGCTGACTTCTAAACTGTTTCTATTCCTCAGGTCTTTTTTTTTTCACAAATTTGTATGCCTTCTTTTTTGCATCTCATACTGTCTCTAACTTCCCTCATAAACTATGGTTTTACAACTGTCTCTGCACTCACCCATTTGCCCTTTGAATGTTTGCCATTGTCTATCCACTTCCATTACTTTCAGTAACATTTCCCAATCCATCATAGCCAACTCAAGCCTCATATCATTCTTGTTACCCTTATTGAGATTCAGGATATTAGTCTTAGAATCGACTATCTCACTCTCCATCTTGATGAAGAATTCTATCGCATTATGGTCACTCATCCCCAAGGGCTTTCTCACAACTACATTACTCATTATTCCTTTCTCATTGCACAATACCCCTTCTAGCATGACTTGTTCTGTACTTGGTTCCTCTGTATGCACATTAGAAATTCCTCCTCTATGGTATTATGACTGTGATATTGTTCCTTCACCGCATCAATGAACATCTCCACTTTTGACCTTATGGAGGGATGGTTGTTGAAGCAGTTAAAGATGTTTGTGCCTATAATATTTTGCTAATTACCATAACTACTTCTGCAGCTATATCCTTGGACTGAGATAATTGACCTCCAGCAACCAATCTTTCTTTGTGCTAGGTATGACAGAGAGTTTTCCTGTAAATCCCATTGACTCTGATTTTGCTTGGGCTCCTTAATGCCCAATACCACCTTGGCATCAAGGGCAGTCACTTTAAATCACTTCTGGAGTTCACCTCTCTTGTCCCCTTTAGGACCAAGGCTATAATGAGGTAAGGAGCTGTGTGGGCCTGTTGGAACTCAAATTGAGTATCAGTGAGCAGGTTATTCTATTGCTAGTCCTGCTTGATAGCAATGTTGACAACACCTTCCATTACTTCCAGTAGATTGATGAGCCAGTATTTCGCTCAGCTCGATTTGTTGTTCTGCTTTTGGAGGACAAGACATACCCGGACAATTTTCCATCTTGCTAGGTAGATCTCCGTGCAATGGAACAGCTTTGCCACGAATGCAACAGATTCTGGAGCACAGGTCTTCAGTACTGTTGCTGTTGTCAGGGCCCTTAGTCTTTGCACTATTCAGCACCTTGAGCTATTTCATTGATATCATAGATAGTGAATCAAATTGTTTAATACTAGCATCTGTGATGCTGGGGATCTCGGGAGAATGATGACATGGATCGTCCACTTAACACTTTCTGCTGAAGATGAACACCAGTGCTTCAGCTTTGTCTTTTGCACAAATGGGCTGGGCATATCCATGGTTGAAATCGGGGACATTTGCGGAACTACCCTACTATTGTTAGGCATTGAATTGTCCTCCCCTATTCATGATTGGATGTGCTAGGAATGCCAAGCTTAGATTTGAACTGTCATTTGTAGGATCAGTTAGCCCTGTCCAGGGCTAGTGCTTTTGCTGTTTGACGTGCAAGTGTTCTTATGTTGTAGCTTCACCATGACGACACATTTTTTATATGTACGCCTGGTGCTGCTGCTGGGATGTTTTAAGCGCTCTTCTTTGATCCAGAATTGATCTCCTGGTTTGATGATTATGGTAGAGAGGGGCCATGAACTGGTAGATTGTCGTTGAGTACAATTCTGCTGATAGACAGCTTTTGAGTTGTTAGATCTGTTCGAAGTCTAAGCCCATTTAACACGATGGTAGTGCCACACACATGATGGAGAGTATCCGCAATGTGTTTACAACATTTTGTCTCTGCAATGACTATGCGGTGGTACTCCTTCTGATAATGCCGTGGACAAATTCATCTGCTGTGGGTAGATTGGCGAGGATGAGGTCAAGCGTTTTTTTCCCTCTTCTTAGTTCCCTCACCACTTGCTGCAGACCCAGTCTCTAACTAATTTTCTTAGGACTCAGCACAGTCAGTAGTGCTGGTACCAAGCCACTCTTGGTGATGGATATTGAGGTAAACCATCCAGCATACATTCAGTGCTCCATGCTCAGTGCTTCCTCTGTGGTGGTTCAATGTGAGTGAGTACTAATGCATCAGACAAAGGAGCACAGTAGGTAGTAATCAGGAAGCTATTACCTTGTCTTTCCTTAAGTAGGGTGGTTTGAAAAAGTGTAGATGGACAACTGATTTTGTACTGAACAGTCCTGGGTTGGAGGGTTCTTGTAAGTGATCCTCCTTTAGGAAGTGTGTGCATCTGGGTGCCTCTAAGGACAGGATCACATTTTTGACTATGATGCCCCCTCAAATAATCTGTATACATTCACTATCTGAACTCCACATGAATAATGATTATGTAGGAAAATTGCTAGGTGTTTCAACAAAAGGCTTAGAGTTTCAAAGGTAAGAAAATTTGCACAAAAAATCAGTTGCAAGTTTCATAATGGGTAACCCCATGTGGACCTTGCAGTCACTCTTTGGATTCCTCTGGTCATCATGTTGGACTACAGGACTTCCAATTCTTGGGAAGCCCTCTTCTAAAGCTGCTACCGGCCTTGGAGACAGTTTACAAAATCCTTTGTATTTTCCAGTGATCTTGATATAATAGAATATATTTTCCTCTGTTGGGTCTATCAATTGGCCAGCTGAGAAGTGATGAATTGCCTTGTAAGCTTACTATTTAATTGTGTAGATGTGTGGCTTCCTCTGATAAAGATCACTCCATTCCCATTCCTATGTTTTCCATTGTATGGTATTGTAGTTTTGTATTAACCTTCAACCACTGTAAAGTAGTGAGGGCACTCAATGCTTGCTTGTTAAGAATTGGCTGACTGACTTGTGATGCAGAATGATGCCACAGTGCAGCTTCAACTCTCGTACTGGTTGAGGTGACCCTATGTTACCAAAATTATCCCTCGCTTGAAGTATGGAGACCTCAGGTTAAACTACCCATCAGTCACCTCTTTAATAATGAGAAAGCAGCCTATGGTCTCTGGGAGTATGGTGACTTTCACTTCACATGTGTGATTTAACTTAAACTAACCAGGAGTCTTTCTGTTGCTGATCAAAAAATGATCATGTGAGCCACAGTTGAATATATTGAATGGTAAATAAAGGGTTTAACACCTTATACCACCAGTTTTTTCTAGAGCTATCTGAAAAAAATTATTGCATCCAAAAAGGCTATTGTTGACCGCATTGTTTCGGATCAAAAGCACAAATAATCATCCAAACAGTGAAAGACAGGAACAAGTTCTGATCCATTTCACCTGTTCCATACAAATATATACTCTCCATCCAGTTCATATCTATGTAACCACTTGTAAGAGAAAATCAGGCCTAAAAACCAAGCTTAATTTTGGGTGGAACATTTGGAAAATTTGACATGACTCCACTATGTGATTAGAACTAGTCCAGGAAGCCGCTCTGGCCTCAGTAATTCCTTGAAGCACCTAGTGTTTTTTTTGAGGTGATCTCCACCCAGCCAGAAACAGATTCTGATTCACTTTCAGGAAGTTATTAATTCAACATCCAGTATGCCGGTTGGCAATTTGTTCCTGCAAGAAAATAGTTGACCTTTTGGAAGAAAAATTCCCTGATAATCTAACCAGCATTTGGGCTTGTAGATATAACATTATGACCCATGCTCATTCCAAACCTATTCAAATGGAACAAACTACCAACTGAAACATGATCTAATCACTTCATTGTAAACCTTTCATTCAGATTTCCACCCATGTCTCCAAAGTGTAGAGACCTGGCTGTTTTACCCCATCTTAATAAACAAGTTACTTTATGCTGGAAACTAAGCAAGCATACCTACATTGTGCCCTTTCCAAAGCATCACTATCACTCACTGTGTGAGGATACCAAATACCAAAACAATTGGTACAATATTTTTACATGAAACCAAAGCAGAGTATTGTACAAGCGAAATCCATGTCATCTTAGTCATATGTTTGTGTGTAAATTGATATTCTGCATTGTCCGTTAGTTCATATCCATTTATCTTGGAATATGCTGTATATATTTAATCATTGTTTTCTTTTCTCAAGGTCGTGAAATTGAAAGGGCAGGTGCTGTCAGTGATGTACCGTTTCCGAACCAAAAGCAGAGATTGGCTATGGATAAGGACAAGCAGTTTTACTTTCCAAAATCCCTATTCAGATGAAATTGAATATATTATCTGCACCAACACCAATGTAAAGTAAGTGTCTGTAGTTTAATGGTATGTTTTGCTATGATGTAGCCAAGTTAGAATAGTATAAAGTGAACTAAAATATGTAGAATATATTTAAACTCTTTTAATTAATCAAACCCCAGTCAATTTTATTAGTAATTTACATGAGAATAGTTTTATTTATTATGAGATAAAAATAGAAAACGCTACACATGTTCAACAGGTCTGACAGATCTATGAAGAGCGTAACAGAGTTAACATTGACAATCTTTTATCAGAACTGAGAATGCTTAGTGTTGGAATAGTTTCTTTACAAGACAGGAAAAGGTGGAGTTGACCAAGGAATAAAAACGAGGATCTATGATTGGGTTACATTCAGGAGTGATTAAATGGCAAAAGGTTGATGGTGCAGGGCACTGGGTAATGACAACGTCAGGTAAAGAAACAAATGATTTGCTGAGGGTTGTGATCACCACACAGCACTAGGGGTGAGGACCTTTGCCATTCAGCATTGTGGTCGTGACCGTCGTCACCTGACACTGGGTAGAGTGACCACCGTAGGGTGGCATGGTGTGGCAGTGGGTTACAGACAAGTAGATGGGTTTTTTTGTCCATAATTCATTTTGTACAAAAATGAGGGTAGTTTATTGAAATTCAGATGTGCTTTCTAAGTGGCAAAGGTTCAAGGAATGAATATGTCAAAGTATTCTCTCACTTTGAATGCTCTAAGCAGTGTTTTTGTACCTGATTTCTATAGTTGTGGAAAATTGCTGGTTTATCGACACTCACCATCATAAGCTAAATTCTGGAGACTAAAATTTCCTGGATCTAGCTGGAATGTACAGTATTTCACGTTTGTTTATAACGGACCTGCTCCCATCCACATTCTTTGAAACTTAGAATGCATACTTACTACATTTTATTGTAAGTTAATAAGAGGTGAATGATTTCAGATGTTTTACAGTACCCATTGAATAACCAATGGGACTAGCTTTACTATAACTATGATTTCCACCTTTACTGCTTTTCAAATGCTGCTTCATTGACTTTTCCCTTCCAGGTGCATCCCCACGACGCACATTTTCAAAAGGACAAAAATGCTGGAATGGCCTTGCCATTGAGGTGTCTGTTACTTGGTATAATTTTTTTGAGAAGTACACTTTTCTCATAAATATTATACAAATACAATGTATAGTAGTTCAACTTTGTTAATATGTAAAGCATAGCATAGATCAGTTTCTTTCATTACAGTAGATTGTCTAATGCATGTCATTACTCATTTATTTTTGGTAAAAAATTGTAATTTTGTTAAATTTCTGGTGATTTCTGTGATCATTCTCTGATGATTTCAGTAAAGGGGTCTCATACAATTTTCAGTGAGTCCTGTGGTGGGAAGGCTTTAGTCTGTGGCCGTTCCTCACTGAGGCTTTTCAGTGACTGCCACATGCTTTAGCATATTGCATAACACAAAGCCCTGGAACTTGGAATGTGCCAGTCTTCCACACTCAGTCATCAGCAGCTCTTTACATGGCAAGATCGGCAAATTTCAGGCAAACATTTTTTCACAAAAAACACAGTGTGGAGCTGGAGGAACACAGCAGGTCAGGCAGCATCAGAGGAGTAGGAAAGTTGACGTTTTGGGTCGGGACCCTTCTTCAGAAATTTCTTCAGAAAGTTCATTCTCATATGCTTTTCTTTACACACTGATGCTGGTGCTCCTCTTTCATTTCTATTTTTACTCTGTGTCTGTATGTATTGTATTACTATTTCATTAGTTTATACTGAAGGAAGTTGTGGTTGGTTGGCTCGCTGAGCTGGTTTGTTGTTCCACAGATGTTTCATTACCCTGCTGGGTAACATCATCAGCTCGTGCCAATTTGAGCGTGCTTTGCTCATAGGTCTCTAAGGCTTTTAGAGTAGATTTGTAGCTCGGGTTGTGGATGTTGTGGTTGGTTGGCTCGCTGAGCTGATGATGTTACCCAGCAGGGTAATGAAACGCCTGCAGAACAACAAACCAGCTCGGCAAGCCAACCAACTACAACATCCACAACCCGAGCTACAAATCTACTGTAAAACCTTAGACACTGAAGGAAATTTGACATGTTCATAAGGACTCCCACCAACTTTTATAGATGCACCATAGAAAGCATTCTACCTAGATGCATCACAGCTTAGTACGGCAATTGCTTTGCCCAGGACCACCACAAACTGCAGAAAGCAGTGAACACAGTCCAGACCATCAAGCAAGCCGACTTTCCATCCATTGACTCCCTCTACACTTCTCTCTGCCTCAAAAAGTTAGCCAACATCTTCAATGAACCCTCCCACCCCAGTTATAATCTCTTCCAACCTCTTCCACGAGGAAGAAGATACAAAAGCTTAAACGCACGTACCAACAGGTTCAAGAACAGCTTCTTCCCCGCTGTTTGTTTTTTAGACTTGTGAATGAACGTTTCAAATTTCAAATCTAATGTCGATCTTGCTTTTTGTACACCCTCTTTGCAGCTGTGACTTGTATTTCTCACTCTGTTCAATCACCCTATGATCTTTGTAGTCATGATCTGCCTGTACTGCACGCAAAACAAAACTTTTCACTATACTTCACAAATCAGGTGTGTGATGGAATGCTGCCCACATGCCTGGATGAATATGCCTCTGCCAACAATCAAGGAACCTGACACCATCCAGGTCAAAGCTGCCCATTTGATTGGCACCATTCACTATCTTCAACATTCATTCTGTCCTCCACCCATGCACAGTGGCAGTAGTTTGTATCATTTACAAAATCACTGCAGCAACTTTCCCAGTCTGCTTCAACAGTACCTCTCATAATCTTTACTACACAGCAGCTGGTGTATGGAAACACCACAACTCTCAAGTTCTCGTCAAGCCACACATCCTCCTGATTTGGGACTATATCACTATTCACACTTGTTCAAAATCCTGGAACTCCCCTCCTAACAGCACTACCAATGTACCTACAGCACATGACCACTGTTGTTCAAGAAGCCAGCTTCATCTCCACCTTCCCAAGGGCTATTAGGAATGGACGATAAATGTTGGACTAGCTGGCAAACCTTGCATCCCATGAAAGATTAATATAAAAGAATGGACCCTTGAAATAAAGATGTTCCGATAGAGATAAAGGGTGGGACCAACAAATCCAGTGAACTGTGGATATCAAGAGATAAACAGGATTGGATAAGGAGAAAATGGGAAGCTTATGGCAGATATTGAACACTCAAAACAGCAGAGATCCTGGAGGAGGACAGAATGTGCAAGTGGATACTTAAAAAGGAAATGAGGAGAGCAAAAAGGGGTGTGAAAGGATAATGGTGGGTAAAATCAGGGAAAATCTGAAGTCATTTTACAAGTACATTAGGATAAAAGGATAACTAGGGAAAGAGTAGAGCCCATTAAGGAACACAGTGGTAATTTGTTCATGGAGCCAGAGCACACAGGTACGGCTATATATGTAAATTGTCAGTGTCCACAAGTGAGAGGTCCAACATGGATATAGAAATCAGGGAGAAGGACTGTTATATGCTTTAAGAAATTAGCACAGACAGAGAAGAGGTTCTGAGTTAACTGGCAGGCTTAAAGGTAGATAAATCTCCGGGCCAGGATGAAATGAATCCCAGGTTGTCAAGTGAGGCAAGGAAGGAAATAACAGCGACGCTGGCAATAATTTTCAAATACTCTCTGGCCACAGAAGAGGTGCCAGAGGACCGCAAGACAGCCAGTGTGGTACTGTTGTTCATGAGGGCAGCAAGGAATAAACCAGGAAACTACAAGTTAGTCGGTCTAACCTCAGTGGTGGGGAAACTATAGGAAGCAATTCCAAAGGATAGAATTAATCTGCACTTGGAGAGGCAGGGATTAATCAAGAACAGTCAGCATGGTTTTGTTAAGGGGATGTGATGTCTGACCAACTTGACTGAATTTTTCAAAGAGGTGACCAAATGTTTAAATTAGATCAATGCATCTGATGTAGTCTACTTGGATTTCAACAAAGCTTTTGATAAAGTCCCGCATGGGAGACTCATAGCAAAGCTAAGAACCCACGGGATCCAAGGTAATTGGCTAATGGATCCAGGGGGTGGTGGTTGAGGATGTTTTTGTGACTGGTAGCCTGTGTCCAGTGGGGATCTGCAGCAATCAGTGTTGTGGGCGTTGCTGTTTGTGGTATATATAAACAGTTTAGACTTGTGTGTAGGAGGATTGATCAGTAAGTTTGCGGATGGTACGAAAATTGGTGGGCTGAGGAGAAAAGCTTTAGATAAGAGAATATAGATGGGCTGGTCAGATGGGCTGATCAGTGGCAAATGGAATTCAGTCAGGATAAATGGGAAGTGATACACTTGGGCAGGACACACAAAGCAAGGGAATACATGATGAACGGTAGGACCCTTGGAAGCTATAACAATCAGAGGGAAATTTGTGTGCATGTCCACCAGTCGCTTAAAATAGCCAGGCAGGCAGATAAAGTATTTAAGAAGACATGTGGGATACTTGCCTTTATTAGCTGAAGCATAGTGTTTAAGAGCAGCGAAGTTATGTTGGAACTGTATAAAAGTGTATTATGTGCAGTCCTGGAGGGATGTGTTTGCACTGGAGAGGGTGCAGAGGAGATTTACCAGTACGTTCCCTGGGCTGGAGAGTTTTAGTTTTGATGGGAGATACAATAGACTAGGCCAAAGGATTCTTTCTTTTTTGGGTGTAGCTCTCTATGGCTTTATGACTCTAACGAGAAACGTTAACAGTCCAGGCTCAAATGTATCTCTGAGGTAGGAGGATTAATGGGACATTCAAGAAAATAAAACATGAACTGTCTTATTGGTGACACAAAACATGAGTTTCTCAATGAACTGTTCAATCCTATAATACTGTTATAACCTGACCTCACTTGCTGCTTTGTTCCAGTGAATTTATGTGATCAGATTATAACAGAATACTTTCTTTATGCTGTAATCATCTACCATGTGTTTTAGAATTGTTTTGTCAAAAAAATAGTGACCATGACCTTT